CCCCCAGCGGGAGCTGCCTGGGGGTGGCTGTGTGTCCGTCCCAATTTCTGTGCTGGAGACGTGAAAATTTTCAGGGTAATGGGAAATTTTGCCCTGGAAAAAATAGCAGTTATTTGCATTTTCGGTCAGGGTGCTACCAGAAATGAATTTGGGCTTATGAGAGCCAAACCCAGTCTCTCCATCTTGGTGGAGGAGATGTGGGAACTGAGGGGAAGGGACCAAGGGGCTGCAGAAAATGTCTTACAGCGAGAGACAAGACTGCGATGGGGTTAAGCCTACTCATAAATCAAATTAAAGGGGAATGGGGGGGACCCTTGATTAAAGCATCTAAATACTCTCGCAGAGGAGAAAATACATGGTAGCCAAAAGCTCATTGAGCAGAGAAAAGCAAGGCAAGAATCAAGGTCTGGCAGCTGAAGCCAGACACGCTGGAAATAAGGCATAAATATTTAACCAGTGGGAGCGATTAATCATCGGAAGAAACGGTGGGCGGCAGAGGTGGGTTCAGCATCTCTTTGTCTTTTGCATCACGGCCCTTTGCCTTGCGGAAAGTTTCTCCTATTGCCCCCCATCACTCCAGCGCTGGACCAGCAAGAAGGGCTGGATCAAACCTGCACCGAGGCCCTGATTAGGTGATTTAGTTAGATGGCGGTTTTGTCTTTAATCACGGTGGAGCCATGGAAAAGAGTATTTCTTGTGCCCTGCCGGCTCTTTCTGAGAAACATCCATGAAATCACCGCAAGCACTTTGCAGGTGCTTCTTTTTTCTTTCTTTTTCGGTTACCGCTGATCATGTTGCCGCAGATCTGTGCCGAGCGGGCGAGGGGACAGTGCTTGGTGGCTGTCCTCGATGTCCAGCAAAATAGACTGAAATTCAGGAAAAACAAATCTCGGTGAGCATCCCAGCACGCTGGGGCCGCTGAGGGAAGGAGCTGGTCCAGGACTTGTTATCTACCCATGGGCGAGAGGGTCCCCAGCCTGGCATCCCCAGGGACATGTGTGCTTGGGAGAAGGAGATAAAGGTCACGAGGTTGTTGCTGGTCCCATCTCCTCCCCTTCGCCTTTCCTTTCCGACAGCGTTTCTTTTCCTATAGCTGTTCTCTCCCTGCCTCTTTGTGATGGGGTAGATGCTGTTGGTGGGCATCACCACGGCTGGGTTTGCTTCCTCTCCCCCCCAAGGCTGCCGTGTTCCTGCTGCGATGGAGCCTGAGCTTGGGGCTGGGCTCGTCTTCGCCATCTATGGGCTGTGGCTGGATGAACATGTGCAAACATGCCTGTCACCGGCCACACGTCTCCCGTGGGTCCCCAGGGTCAGCAGCCCTCAACTGCAGCGAGCGATTGGGCTGTTTAGTTTGGGGCAGGGGGGAATATAGCGAGATGCTGAGCTGTAAGGCTTATATGCAACTCAGTGGCCTGCATGCAAACGCAATGCATGTTGACAGTGGAGTTGCAGCACCTCTGAGCCCTCCAAAGCCACCTCACTGTGAGCAGCCGATATCTGTAAGCAGCCCAGGACCACTCCTCCTCTTCCTCTTGCAGAGGCGCGACGGATATCTGCCTGGGACGATGCGTGACGGGGTGGAAGGCCCGTTTTGAGGAAGAGGATGAATGGAAGGAGAAAAGGCACATGAGAAGGATGGCAAGGTAAGGGGAGGCTTTGCCCGGGTGCTGGGTGGGGGCAGCGGGAAGGAACTGCTCACCCATGGTGGGAGCAAGAACCTCGGAGCCCGCAGGAAAGTCCCCGGCAGTTGCAGAGCTGGTTGTGGTGATGGAAGGACATGCGGTGGCCATGTGAATACCAAAAGCATTTGTCATAGCTCTGCAGAATAAATACAGACAGTGCTGCCTGAGGAAAATAGCAGGTTTTGGTGTGGCCAGGCACAGAATGCGAGGAGGTGGAGGATACCTGATAGAGATCCCGCCGGGAGGCAGTCACAGGCTTTTGGCTAATTCCTGTATAGTCGTTAGCAGAGAAGATGTCACTGAGTGCTGAAGAAAGGGACTCTTTGGCAAGTCTGGCTCATGCCTCCATAGCTGCAGGCGTGTGTCCTCCAGTGGCACGGGTGGGGAACCAGGCTGCCTGCAGCGACGAAGGGGCTCGCCCGGGCTGGGGAGATCCAGGAGCACGTGTCCTATCGATCTGCGGGAAGATGTGCCCAAACAGTTAACGCCCTTGCCGGGTTGTCCCCAGGTAGCTGGGTCCAGCTGGAGCATCCCTGCCCTCACAGCAGGACCAGACGGCATCACACGTACCGCGGTTTTCTCTTTAGCCTCCTTGGAGATGCCCGTGACCGGCGTGCCTGAGCATACAGATGCGGGAAGAGCCCATCTCGTTATCATCTTATCGCATCCATTCGAGTCCTCGAGGGGATTAAGACCGTGCATTATGCTGTCTTCGGGATAAGGCTGCGATTTCTCATGTGGCCTGGGCTGGTGCCTGGTGAAATCGCACCGGTGTTGCTCCAGATGTTGAATAACAGGGTGACCAGGCTAGAAGCTTCTCTCAGTCCAGGCTTCGTATTTTTTCCCTGTGAAATACCTTTGCCCCTGTACTCTGTAGAAGCTGCATTTGATGGAAAGAGCAGGAAAATAGCCGAGCTATAAATAGCATATTCAAAACCAGGCAGGGACCTGCGAGAAGTGAGGATGGTGTCTCTGTGATGTGGGCTTGGAGGAACGATTTTACCGGCAGCAGATGTTAAAAGGTCTCCCTTTGTGCTGGAGGTAGTTCAGGGTGGAGGAAATTAAATCCATGAACTGAAAACAGTGATTTGATGACAAAGTTTTGTCTTTTGCATCCTTGATGGCAAGGTCTCGTAGGGACACTGGGGTAGTTTTTCTTCTGCCCGATGTTAATGAGGGCTGGCAGGGCCGTGCTAACAGCCTGGGGAAGCTGTTCTTGAACCTGGCTGGCTGTCAGTGCCCGGACCTGCTCCCCGGGTCGGGTCCGCCCCAGCGCTCCCGGGAGGTGTCACACAGCAGACACGAAGGGATGTCCCCAGCAGGAGCGGCAGCTCCAGGCTCAGCTGGAGGAGGAGCAGCAGCACGGGGGGAGCTGTAGCTTTAACCCCATCCCTGCCTCAGTTTCCCCAGTTGCAAGGTGGGAGCAGCAGCAGCCTTCCCCAAACCCGGTGAGTTGCAGTGAAGCTGTTGGGGCCAGTGCTCGGCTGGCAAGGTACAAAACACGAGATGCTAAGCTCTGCTTTCCAGGCTGATCACTAAGCTCAGTTTCAGTGAGGCAGGCAGCAGCGATGTGCCAGTGTGGCTGGCGGGCCCCCTCCCGGTCCCCCAGGGCACAGGCCGCCC